TATCCTATTAGTTTGCACTGATGGGAGAATCAGGAAATACGAACGGCTTAGAAAGGTTTCTGAGTTTTGATGGTACAGTGTAATTAGCTGCATCTAAACAAGAATTAAGAGCAATGATCTTTTAGCATTTGGGAAAATCTTGCTGCAGAATAGAATGACAGACTAATTTATCCTTAATTAAATATCAATATAGAAAAGAAAAAAATGACAGCAGTCAATAATAACAGTAATATAAACTACCGAGTAACAGAAGAGCCTGACTCCAAGCTGACACTTCCCACTAAGACGTATGCTAGTATACTATGTCAAACCAAAGCTGTTGGGCTGGTACAAAGTGCAGATAGTCATTGCGATTGATGCATTTCAAGGATGATGAATACTGTCATGTAAATATTCCAGTGGAACTTTTTGACACTAAAAGCAGCAAAGAAAATGTCAGACGAAAAGTGCTCTCTCACAGTCATACAGTAAAGAATGGAACAAATCTGGGACCAAATTCAACTGTTGTGATAGAAAAACAGAACAAATCAAACATGAGAACATATCTGTACCTCTCAGGGAAGTATCTGATGAAAGTGATAAAAGATATGAGAAGACAAGAAATAAGTGAGGGCTGTGAGTTAGGTACAGCAAAAAACATGACATTAGACATCAAAAGCTGAAAAAAGACAAAGTCTCCAGAAATGCAGTATTTTAAAAATAAAACATACACAGAGTTCACTGTATTTTTATGCCATATCTTTGGCTATTGGAGCAAAACATAACTCTACTAGTCTAGTCTAAGTCAAAGACAATATATGCCTGTTCTGTGTCTAGCTGTTCTATTTAACCTGGGCTCTTGGAAATGGGACTACTCTGAAGCATTTGGATAACCTATAATCCCTGATAAACGGCAGTAGAGGAAGAACTTTTTATGCTTTCAGTACTTGAGGGTCTTCATGTGGGAGGGAAAACAAAAAGACGTCATCTATTTCATTTCTCTTTTACGTAAGTGGTTATTCTAGAAATTACTAGAACTGGCTGAAAAAGATTTGCTATTCTTTGTGAGAAGGGGGGTAAATGAAGTTGGGAAAATGTAGGTATAGCAAAAATTTGTCAGCTTTCCATTGAAAAAAATGGAATGTACCTAATTTATTACATGCTTATTTTATATTTAAACTGTTGGAATATTAACACATATTCTCCTTAATTATCACTGTGTCTCAGGGGAGCTGAAGTTCAGTTGGTTTATGACAAAATTCTTTCTCTGATCTGGATTTTAGACTGGATTACTTGTACGTCATGCCCGAGTGATCTGGGTTTATTTACCACAGTTAAATTTGGATAAAATAGTCTGAGTGGGCTATAAAATACTTCCTTCAAACATAACTTCTAGAAGACACAGTGAGGACCTTGATGGGACAGTGGAACACCACACAAAATGGCTTGAATCAAAACTTCATCCCGAAGTGAAATGTTATTTATTATGCTACAGCTCAAACAAGATATTTAGATGTTTCCAAACCCCTTCCTTATTTTTCATTTGCATTAATAAAAGCTTGATATCTTGCTTTTCAGGCTAAAGTGAGGTGCTGAGAACCATTTTAACACATTATGATATTAAATGCATAATATCATAATTTCTAGTGGGATGAAAATCCCAGTTTTTATCAGCTGCTAATGGCCTCTGGAGATATTCTGGCTGATGAGGTTTGTGATGTCAAGCAGCTGTAGATGAAAATAGGAGAAACAGTTGACTAATTAAATAATACAAGTGTAAAACTACAAATCTGAGACAAGCACATAATTATCGTGGTATTTCTTCATATGATTTTTATATGATATTGAATAGCATTAAATTGTCATACTCTTAGCAAAGTCAAAATAGGAACACACTAATCTGCAGATTTATATTTTAGACAGTAAAGAAATAAAATAACACAATATTTAGTTAGCATGAACAAACTTCTGAAGCTTTTCTTTTTTTTAACGTGAAAACGATTATCTGAAAAGAAGGTAATTTATTGAGTTTACCCAGCAATTTAAGGGGAACAACTCACAGAAATGACACAATGGTAACCCCTTTTTTGTGTATGAATTATCTCAGAGCAAACTGTGGAATTCTGAAGTGTACCTGTAATTAAACATATTTGCTGAACAATTCTAAATCTGCAGTTTATTTGCAAAAGCTTTATATACAAATTCAATATTCAAAATTCAAGCTGCTTGATTAGGTCAGTAGGCACATAATATGTTTCCATCTCAGAAGGTTTATTTTTCATATCAAAAATATGATATGAACCATTCAGAATTTGCTTTTTGCAAATACTCTTCAATAATATGCTCAAAATTCATCAAACATTATTGTTAGTACCTCTATTCAGCAGAATAGTTACAGAAAGCAAACAATACCCAGCTCAAATTACTAAAATGTCTATATATCTTTCCGGTCAAAGGAGACCTTGTTGATAAATGGAATTTAACAGCATAAAAAACCCACTAGATTTACTTATTCAGCTTTTGAAGGAAGAATGATATTAACATACCTGCAATATATGTAAATCCCTTAAATATATATAAGTAACTTATACTGCTACTCCTACATATTTTTCTAACAAAACTTATTGTTAATCTAAATTTTAAATATGAAATGAAAGTATATTTACTTGTGGAGGCTGGATGTATTAGATTTATCTGAAATATTCTGATTCCTAATTTGGAAGATACAGTTTTCAGCTGTTAAGCTATACACCAATATGTGAAGCTGCTTACTCAAGCTTTTCTTCAGTGCTACAGAAAATACTAACAGAACAATTAAACCATTGCTTCAATGGGAGTTGCAGTGCATACAGGTAATAAATATATGGAGCTTGCTCTTTTATGTCTTCATTGTCTGAGTTTCTTTCCTTTTATTGTCAGGCTTATAGAACTACACAAGCCATGAAAACTCAATGCTAACTTAAAAGTGTGACCTCTGTTACTTTAGTATTTTTGGACTGTGTATCAAAGCAGTGTTTACATTAGATAATGAAATGGAGATGGGGCAGAAAACACACCTCTGAAAGACCTTCTACACAAAAGGATGAACACATCGTTCTTTGCACAAAGCATTAGAAAATACTGTGATATTTTATTATTAAAAATGCTGCTGAAAAGTTTATACATATGTGTCCAGCCATATATATCTTCTATCATTACTTAAGGCAAAAAACAAAAAATTGCAAAACAATAACAGAAGAAACCATTAAACCCTGCGTGCCTCTGAAAGTCAAGAATATAAGCCTGGGAAAGTACTTCTGTTTTTCTTTTACAGTTTGCAAAGTATATTTTGATATCATTATTATAGAATTCTATGAAGACCCTATAAATCTGTTCTCTCTATAAATAATACATCAGTCCAGATGTATCAAATTATTAAATCAACTTGATTGTAATTACTTTTAAAAGCTAAAATCGTTCACTTACAGAAACTTTTTTTTACCCAAATGTCACAAGCCTGACACAGTACTCTACATATTGCTAGCAGAAGACAATTGGAAGTACTAAACAAATACTGTAATTCACATTACAAACATACCCAACTGATTATGATGCCAAGCATCATTACCTTTTTTACTTTTTTTTTCTTTTTTTCCTTTTTTTTTTTACCTTTTTCTTAAGAGTTATGAACTGCTGCATCTCAGCTCAAGCATTACATAGGTGGTGGAAATGACTTGGTATAGAGTCAGCATTAATCAACATTATGCGATGGATCAATGGAAAAAAAAAACAAAACAGTTTTCCATCTGCTACTAGCTGTACTTTGCAGGTGTTACTTCATCAGATTCCAACCTGAGCATCCAGGTCACGTTTATAGCACATTTATTACAGATAAAGGATTATATCAGCCACATGTTGCATTTTTATCATGTCATTAACTTTCTTTTCATTTCTTTCCTTCAGAATCTTGTTTTACTCTCTGCTACAACAGGGAGTTGTGCAGATGAATAGACCTCAGTGAATCACCTTGTGTTTGAATTTATTTGTAAGGATGATTATTCCAAGACATTTTATTAAGGAAAAAAAAAAGGATAGAAAACAAGAAGTACAAGGCATCTTGTGTTAGATACTTATGGGACATACGATATTGATGCAGATTAGCTGTGAATTAATAATAGAAAATACATCTGGGATAATCATGTTCAAGTGCAGACCAATTTGTTCAAATATCTTTGGTTACTATCTCTCGATGATGGACTAACTTTCAAAGACAAAATATAAAGCATTCTTCATCTGTGAGAACTTATTTCTAGCTCTTCACATTCAAATCAGTTGTTCGAAACAAACTGCTAAGTTCCTTTGTTTGATAGCTCTGCTTGGCCCCTGGTTTCCTAGTGAAGGAAGGGCAGAAGGGAATAATTAGCTAAGAATTTTGCCCTTCCTGAGAGTGATGCTCTCTGGGATTTTCGGTTTTATTCAGATGCAGAACAGCTGACGATGTCTCCGCTTCTCTCTCCATAAAGTTCACTGGCTATGGGACTGCTGTGTAATAAATCAGCAAAAAAAGCTTTTTCTGACAGGTATGCTCTCAAGCACAAAACAGGATACTATGCAGAGAAGTTCTGTACACACTGATCATTTCTGAACACTTGAAAGAACAGTCAGCCAACCAACCTACCATTTCCCCACTGTCAAACTGTGTTTTTTTTTCATTTAGCAAAGCTACGAAGTGCTTTCTCAACTGAGATTCTGCTGCAGCTGCTGGTGAATATAGAGCTAGTTTTCCTCAGGAAAGGCTGACCAAAACACAGGCTTTTGTTGCTTTTGTCAGGGCTCAGAACTCTTTCTAATGTACCACAATAACCGAGAACTACAAACTGGACTCTGAATATATATTATTGGATGTTTCTTGGTTCAGTTCAACAAGCTTAAAATAGAAATTATTTTCTTTTGGTTTTTTTTCCTCCATTTTCCAATCCATTGCTTGTGTTGCAATTTAACAAAGGCTAACAGAAAACTAAATTACAGAAAAAAAGTTTCAGAAAAGAACAACAGTCTCCTATGAATACTTTAACATGCACTAGTGTAACCTGTAAGAGAAAATATGCAGGTCACACAGACAACTGTATCCTCTGCATGACACCATAAAAATGAAACATGTTAGAAAAAACTCATGGTTTTTGTTTATCACTAGTAATTAAGAAGTTCCTCCTTTGGACTTGGAGGAAATAGAGGTGATATGACTAAAGTATATACACATAGGTCACAACCGAATGCACAATCTTTCTAAAAGCTCTTTTCAAACTGAAAACATCAATAAAAGCTTCTTCTTTTTTTTCTTTTTTCTTTTTTAAACTCACAGCTATGTACATTTTCACAAAGTTTCTTTAAATATAGTTCAGGCTGGCAAGTCATCTCTTTGCACAGAACTATACGTGCTTTACTGCATAGTCAGTCCTCCTCTTTTTTTGTCATTTTTGTTTTTAATAATAAAATTCTATTTCCCCCATCTGGATTACAGCTTCATATGTTGGGTAAAAGCCCATGGTGATGTCTTTGTTTTAACAAGGGCCATTCATGGTATGGCACATAAAGAATTTTTTTAATTATTTTATTTATTAAAAAAAAACCCAAACAAACAACAAAACAAAACACCTGTACAGTCACTGGCTCTGTTCCAGAAGATTCTGCTTTGTTTGTTACACTCAAAACACCATTTTAAGTGACTTCTTCTGGCCTTGACTTTCAATCAAAGTGGCTGAGATCTTAAAGCAGTATCGTAACAGCAATGTACACTTTTCACATTTCACAGGGTTTGTAGTTGATCTTTAACATCAGAGAGTTTCTGTGGAAGGATCAGTAAGAAAATAATGACTGTCCTTCTCTTTCACTTGTTTTTACTTTAGGTTTTGACAAGTTGTTCAACGGATGTTATTATAACTTTTTCCTCTTCTTTTTGTTGTTTTTTTTTTTTCTTTCTTCCAAGTGTCTTTTGAGAGTAGAAGGGAAAGGGCTGAGCTATACCCTAGTGGTCGAATGTCCATGGGGCAAATTTGTACTGTTTTGTCCTCCACTGAAGGTGTTGAAAGTATGCAAAGGCTGCATTCCTGTTAATGTATTTGGAATCATGGTTATGGTATTGGGTGTCATTAGCGGGATGTCATCTGGGGACCTTCTCAAAGTAAGGGTGTAGTCAGGCGGACAGGTTAGTCTCAGTGTGTCATGGGCCTGCAGCGATTCACACTCATGGTCATGTTCTAGCTGTTTCATCTGCAATGACATAATCTCTTCATTTTGTATGTGTGCGATATCATTAGTTGTGTTCCTCTGGGGGCTGGGGCGCCTGTGAGTCTCATGACGCCGCTTGTCCTTCTTGTAATACAACGCAGCAAAAGCTAAAATATTGAGGAACAACAAGGATGCTCCCACAGCAATGGTGACGCTCAGCTCTGTGGAGTAATCTCGCTTGTTTTCTATTAGAACTGTCGTATCCTCTGGAGCTGTTTTATGGGTGTCTTTTGAATGTTTGGGATTGTTAGCAGGTGTCATTGCTGGGCGTTTGGTGGCTGGCCACAATTTACCAGGAGAACGTCGCGTCACATAAGGAAATGATGTCATGTCAGGAGGGGGGACTTTAGTTGTTGTGGAAACGTACTGAAATATTTCATTCAGATTGTGAAGGTGTGGTACGAGCTCCAACCAGAAAGCAACTTTTGTTGCTCGGTAGTGATCTCGAACTCGAGGTTTCAGGCCGATATGCAGATAAAGCTGGTCTTTAGGATTGTATTTGGACCAGGCCACTTCTTCAAAGCGATTGGGTTTGGTGTGGATGAACTTTGTGTCCTGTGGAACAGGCTGGTTTGGATCTCTACAAAAATAAAAACAGGCAATATTACAGTCATTAAAAAAACAAAAGCAAAAGCAAAAAAAAAACAACCCTCTACCCTTTAGTTAACACTTTATCTGGTAATAAACATAACCTAGAAACAGCAGCTAAAAAAAACTCCCTAACTTAACAACAAACGTTAATAAACAAACAAAAGGAAAGTTATTTATTGTATGGTGCATGTCAGACATTACAACACTTTTTTACATGAAAACACAGAAAGGGTTGTGTTTCAGCTTCCAAAAGCTCGTCTGAAGTTCTGTGATTCAGTATCATACTCCAAAGCTGTCTTAGAGATGTACTAAATACCTTTCCCCATAGTAAAGGTGAAGGTTCAACTCTTCTTAAGGTTCGACATTAACTCTATCATTTAAGTGACATTTAAAGTACTACTGGAAGTAGTGGATATAGGCATATAATACCTATGGCAATGCTGGAAGTCCATATGACCATAAGAATTTATACTAGCTGTTTATACTACCTAAAAAACTTCAAAACATGAAGTAGCAGGGCTAATATGTCTAACTGGGAACTCTTGCTCTTTGTGTTCCTTTACTGAGCAATTAGTCCCCCTTGTTCAAATATCTACTTCAGGGGAAAGCCTTTAAAATATTTGTATATTGCAAATCTTTCCATCATTTTCATTAGCAGATTACTATTTGAAAGTTCTGTGTGTTTACTGCTACTAAATAACTACTTTTAATGGCTGTAGGACAGTGAGCCTTAATTCTGTCCCAGATTGTAGGGATGAGAAATATATTAGCTGAGATCAACAAGTTTTGTAGTAGTTAAGTAGCAGTAGAGATAAGACTAGTAAACTACTCAGAGATAATTTCAAAATTGGTAACCCAAATATTTAAATTATGCTTTTCCCACCTTCTCTTTTTTCTTTTATTCTTATATGTTCAGAACAAAGAAAAACCAGTGGCACAAAAAGCATTTAAATGTGGTTAGTGTCTATGTATCCTTATAATTTTGATGAACTTTATGTACTTATGACTTCCTCTTGGCATGAAAAAATACAGAAATTAAAATTAGTAATATTTCATTTAATATTCTGTTGTGCATGAGTTTGAATCTTCTTTTGCAGCAAAGAGTATTTTCTGGGAGTTTTTGATATACCGAGAGTACGTGATTCATTTTCTGTGCATTACACCGAGAACTTTCCAATTTTCATTTCCATTCCCATAAGTATTAGTTTATTTCCTGTGAAAATAACTCGAATATTTTCCTTTTCTTCCAATATACTGTTACGTACGTTATGGGAGTACCAAGACCCATCCCTACATATTTTAAAGCATCTTGTTTTTTTTCTATTTCCAGTTTCAAAAGCTCATGAATGTGATTGCCTAGATTAGTATTCCTTTGCTGTTCATAAAAAGCTATTCTTCAATTCTTAAAACAGACTGGTAATTTGACTTTAGTAATCTTATGATTCCTGTATTAAGCTATTTACCTGAAGGGTTTTAGCTTACCTTTTATTGAGTGAAAGGAAGAATTCTTTTCCTATATAATTTTGGTACTTCAGTTTACCTTAACTTTCTTCTCGTCTGTTGATACTAGATTGCCATTCTTATTCATTAGAAAGTGTATCCCCCCGATGAACAAATATGGCGACCTAAGTGTCAACAGAAGGCTGAGGTACTCAGCAACTTTTTTGCCTCAGTCTTCACCAGCAACTTTTCTCCTCAGCCCTCCCTAGTTGATGGACCACATGATGGGGACTAGGGGGGTGAAGTCCCTTCTACCATAACAGAAGATAAGGTTCATGACTACCTGAGGAACCTGAACATACATAAGTCTATGGGACCTGACAAGATGCATCCCACGGCCCTTTGGGAATTGGCTGATGTAGTTGCCAAGACCCTCTCTACAATATTTTACAAGTCATGGCAGTAAGGAGAAGTCCCTGGTAACTGGAAAAAGGGAAACATTGTGCCCATTTTTAAAAAGGGTACAAAGGAGGACCCTGGGAACTACCAACCTGTCAGTCTCACCTGTGTGCCTGGGAAGATCATGGAACAGATCCTCCTAGAAGCTATGCTAAGGCATATGGAGGCCAGGGAGGTGATTCGAGACAGCCAGCATGGCTTCACCAAGGGCAAGTCCTGACTGACCAACCTAGTGGCTTTCTATGATGGAGTGACTGCATCAGTGGACAAGGAAAGAGCAACGGATGTCATCTATCTGACTTCTGTAAAGCCTTTGACACGGTCCCCCACAACATCCTTCTCTCTAAATTGGAGAGACATGGATTTGATGGGTGTACTGTTTGATGAATAAGAAGTTGGTTGGATGGTCACATCTAGAGGATAGTGGTCAACAGATCAATATCAAAACGGATGCTGGTGGCAAGTGGTTTCCCTCAGGAGTCTGTACTGGGACCGATGCTCTTTAACATTTTCATCAATGACTTAGTGAGATCGAGTGCACCCTCAGCAAGTTTGTAGACGACACCAAGCTGAGCGCTGCAGTTGACATGCCTGAGGGATGGGATGACATCCAGAGATGGGAATTGGATAGCATCCAAGAGGGGGACTTGGAAAAGCTAGAGAAGTGGGCCCATGTGAAATTCATGAGGTTCAATAAGGCCAAGTGCAAGGTCCCGCATCTGGGTTGGGGCAATCCCCGCTATCAATACAGGCTGGGGAATGACAGGATTGAGAGCAGCCCTGCCGAGAAGGACTTCCGTGTACTGGTGGATGAAAAGCTGGACATGAGCCAGCAATGTGCGCTCGCAGCCCAGAAGGCCAACCATATCCTGGGCTGCATCAAAAGCAGTGTGGCCAGCAGGCTGAGGCAGGGGATTCTGCCCCTCTACTCCACTCTCATGAGACATCACCAGGAGTGCTGCATCCAGCTCTTCAGCCCTCAGCACAAGAAGGACACGGACCTGTTGGTGCAGGTCCAGAGGAGGGCGACTAAAATTATCAGAGGGATGAAACACCTCTCCTCTGAGGAAGGGCTGAGAGAGTTGGGATTGTTCAGCCTGGAGAAGGCTCCAGGGAGACCTGATTGCAGCCTTTCAGTACTTAAAGGGGGCCTACAGAAAAGATGGAGACAATCTTTTTAGCAGGGCCTGTTGTGACAGGACAAGGAGTAATGGTTCTAAACTGTTCACCAGATGAATTAGTAGCTGACCTGGAGGCCAAATGAGGGAACCGAGTATTTCGTATCTGGTGATATTGGCACAGGAAGAATGATGGGGAATCTTACCCTGAATTCCATATAACATGTTGAAATACCATTAATCTTTTAACTCCTTCTGCAACAGCATTAACTATTACTCAGGACAATGGATCTATTACTTCAATGCACTTAAAAGTGTTTTATTCTTTTGCGTTGTTCTCTAACTTCATTGGAGAGCAAAATGTCTTAACAGTTACATACTGAGTCTGTCTCCAAGACACTGAAAGGCCCCTTGATCATTTATTTTCTTTCAGCAGTCCTCTGATCTCCATATGGGAAAAAAAAAAAAGGGGGGGGGGAGAGAAAAACTGTGTGGCATTTCTTCATGATTCCACTGATTTTTTATGTTGTCACAATATTAATAATGGTACAGCCATTCCTGCCTGAAGCACTGGTACATAAGCATACTTTCCCTTACCTCCTTTCCTCACTTATCACCAGGTCCCACTGTTGCCATGCTCCCAGTCAGCTACTGTAACTACTAAGGAAAGCAAACCATAAGTACACTGTTTTGTTTGACTAACATAGATTGGCTGTTGGAGACAGTTTTTTCTTCAGGCAAAAACATCAAAAAGAAATGCATCAGCCTCATAAAGGAGTTCACAGAGAATTGATTTGAAAACACACTTTAATCATTGTAAGTTTAATTGTGTCTTCTATTAGAAAGCCAAACGGAGTATAAAACATAGGCATCTTTAATAACTCAGGTTTGTGCTTCAGAATCGATGACAGTAAAATTATTCAGGAGTATTTATCTGAATTACAAAGAAAAAAAGGCTACATCCTTTAAGCCTTTATCTTTCCCATCACCAACGTAGGTAGAGATGAATGAATGGGAGCAAAAATAGAGTATTGTAAGTCCTCAAAAGAAGGTGATTTTTAGAAACCAGATAGATGCCTCTAATGAAAGCATGGCTTCATATCTACTCTATGAATCTTCAAATGCTTCTTCACAAGAGTGTAGCTGGCAGAGTATCTGTGAAGGACTGGCACACATCCCTCATGTCATTCACCTTCCCCCTGCTGATGTAGCTGTGAAGAATGTAACATGGCCCTAACAAACAGAACATTTGAGCATACAAAACTACCATTACAGTTAGGACAGTACTACTGTCAGCAGACTGAACCTTTAAGTGCATCTCTTAATGAAGCTCTCATATATAATTTGCACATAGTGGAATCAAAAGCTGTATTTTCATGTCATTTTTGTATCCCAAACGTAGTTTCTCACAGCTACTCTGTAACAAATTGCTTTCCTATTTCTAAGGCATGTTAGAACCCTAGTTTTGAAAAGGCCCAAACAACTGTTAATGCAACAACAACAACAACTACTAAGTCATAGCAAGGTAGAAAATGGAGGATTAGCAAAATGCAGTTTCCAGGTATTCATTTTAAGTATTATCCATTTGCCATTAATATACTTTGTCACCTCCTATTTACTAGCTTGGGTAACTGATTTCGAAGTAAAACACAATAAAAGAAACATGCCTTGTGCTATTCTTTTGTTCTTGAAGTGATTTTACAAGTTTGACCTGCCCTCCAAACCCAGCCTTGGCAGTAGCCCCATTAAACAATATGTGGTTTTTAGCAGTGGGTGGCATGTCAATTAAAAGCCCAGCACAGTCCATCAGAACGATGCACCACCTGAGCTGAAATTATACAATAAGTACCTGGATGCAGCCTCTGTGGGAGAGTCACCAAGGTGAGAAAAGTCTCAGAGACATTAAAAATAAATAAATAAATCCACAGCTTTAATGTTCAAGGCTCACTTACAGGGAAACGTGGAATAATAAAATCTTTCAGTCAACAGATTTTTCCTATGTGTTGTCATGGGTACAAAGAGAAAGCAAGCCAAGTTCTATCATAATAAGAATGGGAAACAATCAATGAAAAAAAGGGTGGGGAAGACCCAGAAACAAAGCCCTCAACAACACAGTCTTGAACCATATCAATCTTTTTGAGAGTTGGAGGACCTGAGTGGGCACATGGATTCCAGATTGCATGTGGGAGAGTAGAGAGAATAATAGTTTCCCCAGAAATGTCCCTTGTTGCTCTAGGCTTGAGGTGCTAAACTTCCCTTTTCCATTGGAGGCATCAGAGGTGCAGAGAAAATGTAATCTTAAAATATTATTTTTCTCCAAATATTCTCTTGTACTATCCAGAACAATTAATCATTGTTCATATAAACAAAGAAAAAAAAAACAGCAAGGCAATATAACTTGTGTTGCTCTTTTCCTTTACTTGTGAAAACTGAAATTTTACAGCTAGAGGCCATTTTTAACGACACATCTTTCAGACTACCCGTGAACAGGCAAGTTTGTAACAGAAGATATACTCCACTCCTGTCTCAGCAGCAATGGTGAATTTTCAGAAATGACTAATAGCTCTCCCAAAGCACCTGCTGTGCCTTTAGGTGTAGTACAACAACGAGTTCATAACCAGAGAACTGGGTGATGGAGTGTATAGTCTGCTGAAATTAGCTTTCAAGTAGCAACAGCTGGAAAGTGCTTGCAATTACAAGTAATGGTGGCAGAAGAAGAAAGAAGCTCCTGTCAGCCTCAAAAAATTGCCTAAATATGACTTCTTACTCTATAAGGAATAGTCATATAATGATTGTAAACAGTAGTGTGACTGCAGAGAACTTGTATCTTCATAATAGTTCCAATGATGTATATTTGTGAGGATCTGAAGTCCTCTATGCATATGCGGCACTTCATCTATAAAAATAAAGGCAGACTGATCGTATAATCATCTGAGTATTCAGTACAACCAGCATGCGTCATTCTCTGTCCATAAACCAAGCTTTCATCCTAAAGTTTTACCATCCCAGTGCTGATGACTTCTTGTTGCCAAATGTGTCCAAATATTCAACAGTTAATCCACTATTGTTGCAGTACTGTGGGATATCTGCATGCAAAAGTACCTGTTTGTCTAAAATGCAGCGCAACAAAAGCTTTCTTTTTGCCTTGTGTATTGACTTGAAGTATTTGATTGTTTTTTACTCAGTTCTTGCTTGAGGTTTTTAATACTGCAAAATCCCTCTGTCTTGAATGTCATTTGGATTCATCAAAGGCTGCAAGAGCTGCTGAAGCCTCTGAGTGTTTCAGACTAGGCATCTCTGAATATTTCTTTTATAGCTGCATACCACTCACTGCAGTGCAGTAAAGCAGCAGTTTCCAGAGCCCAATCCTGACATTAAACATTCATTGGAAAGATTTACAGCCCCTTTCTGCCACAAGTATCTTTGTTGTAATTCAGTACCGAAGACTCAAGGTTAACAAAAAAGCCCTTGCTGCTCAAGTAAAACCCTGCAATAGTCTTTAAAGGAATGCTTTAGGAACAGAACAAAAACTATTAATAGCACACACAGATTAAGGTGCTTTGAGTGTTCTTTCCTTGATGTTTACAACTCCATTTCAGAAAAACACTGATGTCTTTATTTTGTTTTGTAAGCAGAATTAATTCAAATTTTCAACCTTGTCAAAGCAAAATTTATATCAGATTCTCTTCTTTATTTCAGTCAAGTGCTTATTATTGCCATTATAGCTCTCTGAGGGAAAAATCTTTCCAGTGTCTGCCTTTCTGTTCCAATTCCTTCTTGAGTCCCCATTCCTGTGAAGGTCACTAAAAAGAAGAACTTCCTTTCTTTTGTTGCGGATAAGTGCTATCTGCCTGACAGTTCCTTCTTCAAGTAGCAGACATGTTGACTCTGATTTTTTAGCAACTTAAGTGAGCGGCCTTTTCTCTGAGACATGATTTGTCTTAATAATTGCCCTATTTTTCGAGTCAAAAATGCAGTGCGTTATTATTCTCACTGAGCTACTGAAAGAAAATAGTTTGAGGGACCACACTAATTAAAAGTTCATAAATATTAATTAGCCCCAGTTACCTTCTCTCTTACACAAATAGCGCTATAATACTACTGCAAGATCAGGGTTTGAAGCCACTGCTGTGGGATACTGACCGTTTTAGAAGTATATTATCAACAAAAACGAATGCTGGAGATCAAACTTACCCAGTTTTGGCGAAGTTAGTCCAGTATGTCATAACTACTGCACTGAGCATGACATCATTCTTGGAAAAGTTGCAGTTGAACAGTTCTGTGGGGCCAATCATGGGAATCCCAAACACGTAAGGGACTTCATCACCGTGAGCTGAATCAGCCCAGCTGGGTTTCATTTCACTTTGGCAATGGTGATAAAATGCATAGAAATACGTTGGAGATCCATACTGAGCATGCAGGTCAGCAGTAGCAACAGCTGGCGCAACCCACTGATGGTCTGTAAAAAGAGCGACCAGGGTTTTCCGTCTTGTTTCAGGGTTTTCTTTGTCTGCCCAGTCAGTGTACATGAATTTAATGGTCTCTCGCAGTGTATCTTTCCCTTCTGGATAACCATATAGATTGTCCACAAAATTGGAGACAGAAAAGTCAAAATCATTGGGGGAAACACCATCTTCATTGTCTACAATTCCGTCCACAAATTTCAAACCTTCCCCTTGATTCACGCCCAGCATGATATCATAGTTAAGGAATTCCCCTTGCTCCATGAGAATTTGAGGGTCGTCTGGAATCACGTCTCCATCTATCACAGGCCCAAAGGCAATGTGGTACGTGGCTGGAGTGATGGTCTGTTGAATGAGTTCTTTGTAATTCTTATTCCGAAGACATTCAACCAAATCAGTGGTATCCAGCATGTCACAGCCCACTTTATCTGCCAATATCCGAGTGTACTTGGCAGGCTGGTAGTTCACTGCCCAGCTGGACAGGGCTGTTCCACTCTGTATGATTGCCTTTTGGAACAAACCTGCAAGTGCAAAATGTTCAAATGCAAATCCAATTACATATTAAAAAAATATTTAAAAAACATAAAAGCAGTTTTCACTAAGCAAAACCAGCTTTGATTATACAATAACTAAAGGATGCATATACCTAAATTTCAATTCAATTTCCTTATATTCTACTCACTGCTCCCTTTTTATAGTATCTCTAATAGGCTACTAATTAAAATCTCTCTTGTTCTTCATGATCACATACATAAAGCATGAAGGTTTCAGGTTACTGTTTCAAGAACAAAACTCATGCTTGTACTGCAGTTTTCTCGTATCTTTATTGGAGGTCCCCTCGCGTTAACACAGTGGTAGTCCTTTTAAAATTTCTTTAAAGAAGTGGCAGCTACAAGCAATCATATCCTCTTCACCATGTAAATGACTCTTATAAATGTGCTCTTCGGTAGTTTAAAGGTCAAATGAAAATTACACACTCTCATTTCCTTCACAGAAGCCATGCATCATATAATTTGAAAAAATCTGCTAAGCTAAAACCAATTTAATAAGCTTGATTCTTCTACTCTGACATCATTTCTTCTTTACCATCTTAAATTTTTTTTGTGTGTATGTGTGTTTTAACACTGCATATATGTTGAATTAAAATACATTTACATTTTTTAGAAGAGAATAAGACAAGATTCAATAGTTCTTTCTGGTTGTTCCACATGTACTAACATAAAGAGAGATGAAAGGCCCAGTCTGAAGAGCTTCTTTGTGTCACCAGAGCAGTGAAAAACAAATGGAGCTTACTGGTGAATCTGCCCCATCTGTTTTTTCCTGGTAAGATCACTAAAACGGTCTATTTTATACTTAAACTGAAATGCCTGGGCCTCTTCTGCACGTGGTTTCTACTGTCAAGCTGTTGAAATGTCAAAGACAGTAACAGCTACAAAAATATTTAAAGACCTTGAAGCATTTATGGGAAAAACTGGCTGTGGTTGATACACCTTTGTGATCACTACTTACTGGACACACTACAAAATTTCAATGATATGACTAGTTAAATTTTTCATGATTCCGTCTGTTTGATTTTGGCATGGTTTACTCAATACTTATTCACTGCAACCTATTTTTATCAAAAGACTAAATTGTCAGCCATAATTCTATGTATTTCCAAATAGTGTGTGTTTACAATTGCTTGCTAGGGCTTAGGCTTCTGCCGTAGATTTCTGTCTGTTTTAATGTGACAGAAGTAGCACAAACTTATAAATACAATAGATATCTTGATCTTATCTTGTTTTATAAATTCTTTGTAGATTTACTCTTATCACCAAGAACATTTATGGTTCAGTACTGGTGCTGTACATTTTTGGTGTTTGTTTTTTTTTGGAGGGGTGAGGTGTTGAGGGTAGAAATCCCACAGTTCAAACACAGAATCTTAAAAACTCTGTTTGGGTCACACAGTACTTATGCGGAGTTAAATACGTTTTTTAATAAGGTTAAGTTATGTTATTATTAAGTAAGGAAAGCATGTAAATACATATTGGAAGTGCAGACTAGACTGTGTAAAAAATGAAAAAGGTCATTGCCCTTTTCCATTTTAATTACAGCAAATTCTTTGATAGAAGAGCCAGTGGAGACTGCTGATAAAGCTAGGAAAAGTATATGGCCCATGGCATTTGTTGCATGAAATCTCTGCTGTAATAGCATTTAATTTTTCACATAAAATATTTATGTTGACTAATACAAACCCAGAATACTAGCTAGTAGGTATTTTACAAAAATTACAGACCGTAAGTAATTTTAATTCAGCCTACCTGATATGGCCATTTTTGTTACACTACAACATCTAAAAAAAAAAAGGGCTTTACTCAGAAGATTGTTACCTTCTGAATAGTGAGAGAGTGTCAGGAGACTGACACAAGAAGCTCCTGCCCCAGATCCAAAAATAGTAACTCTTTTTGGGTCTCCTCCAAAAGATCCAATATTTTCTTCAATCCAGCGTAAAGCTTGGATTTGGTCAAGCAATCCATAATTGCCTTTTGCAGCTTGGTCGCCAGTACTTAAAAAACCTATAATGCAAAAAAAAGACAATTTTAGTTTAATTTACAAATTTAGTTTAGATACAGAGCCAGCTACAGGGTATCCACATATTCACAACACCTCTTCCCATCGTTTTACCTTCCGGGCTTCTGCCTTTTTTTTTTTTTTCCCCAAAGGTCATGGTCCTAGTTAAATGTCTCCAATGCAGGCAGTAGAACTCATTCCATATGCTGTTTGGTTCTGTTATGTTTTTCTCTACTGCAGAGGTCACATTTATGAAAAACCATTATTTCCTTTGTGAAATAATACTATATCAATGCAACAATACAGACTGAAGATTTTAAATGTTTGGTAACTCTATCTGAGTAAGGTATAAAAACTTGGGAAATCATTTTTGTTCAAAGAAGTGAGATATTCAGTCTTCCACTGAGAACGTGGCTCTTTAACATCTTAATTTAAATGCTCCTTACAAAGGACCAAAATTGTCCTGAACTACACAGCTCTTTAAATTACTGTACTTGTGATATGAATAGCCATACTCAGAAATAGAACAGGAAAGATGAAGAAAACAGTAAAAGGAACAGGAAAAAGGCCTAGGAAACAATTATACTCCAGTTACATAGAGGATATTTATTAGGATTACAGCAGGTAAACCCTTGGCAATTCACCCTTTGGTTGGGAGATTTTATCGAACAAATCAGGTTTTGCCTCCTCAAAATTGCAGGGAAAGCTGCGTTGCTGTTTTTTGTTCTTGTACTATGGTTATCAGATTTTAGAAACAAAGTGTGACACATTTGCTGCTTGTCTTGCGACTGAAAACAAAATGACCGAAAGACTAGGACCGAGATTAATTTTGTTAATCAGGTGGAAGAGAAAGGTCCATGGAATGTGGAAATAGGGGCAGGCCACATGGGAAGAGTACAGGAATGTGGTGAGAGCATGCAGGGATGCAACGAGGAAGGCCAAAGCCCACCTGGAATTGAAGCTGGCAAGGGATGTCAAAAACAACAAGAAGGGCTTCTTCAACTACATCAGCAGCAAAAGGAAGACTAGGGACAATGTGGGGCCACTGCCGAATGAGGCAGGTGTCCTGGTTATGGAGGACGCAGAGAAGGCAGAGCTACTGAATGCCTTCTTTGCTTCAGTCTTCAGTGCCAAGGCCGGCCCTCAGGAATCCCAGGTCCCGGAGGTAAGAGAAGAAGCCTACAAAGAGGACGACTTTCCCTTGGTCGAGGAGGACAGTGTGAGGGATTGCTTAAGTGATCTGGACGCCAACAAATCCATGGGCCCCGATGGAATGCACCCACGAGTGCTGAGGGAGCTGGCAGATGTCATTGCTGAGCCACTCTCCATCATCTTTGAGAGGTCCTGAAGGACAGGAGAGGTGCCCGAGGACTGGAGAAAGGCCAATGTCACTCCAATCTTCAAAAAGGGCAAGAAGGAGGACCCAGGGAACTACAGGCCGGTCAGCCTCACCTCCATCCCGGGAAAGGTGATGGAGCACCTTATCCTGGAGGCCATCATGAAGCAAGTGGAAGAAAAGAAGGTTATCAGGAATAGTCAGCATGGATTCACCAAGGGGAAATCATGCCTGACCAATCTGATAGCTTTCTACAATGACATGACTGGCTGGGTAGACGAAGGGAGAGCTGTGGATGTTATCTACCTTGACTTCAGCAAGGCTTTCGACACAGTCTCCCATGATATCCTCCTGGGGAAGCTGAGGAAGTGTGGGCTGGATGAGTGGTCGGTGAAGTGGATAGAGAACTGGCTGAATGGCAGAACTCAGAGGGTTGTCATCAGCGGCGCTGAGTCTAGTTGGAGGCTGGTGACAAGTGGTGTCCCTCAGGGGTCAGTACTGGGCCCAGTCTTGTTTAACTTCTTCATCAACGACCTGGATGAAGAGTTAGAATGTACCCTCAGCAAGTTTGCTGACGACACCAAACTGGGAGGTGTGGTAGATACACCGGAAGGCTGTGCTGCCATTCAGCGTGACCTGGATAGGCTGGAAAGCTGGGCAGAGAGGAACCTGATGAGGTTCAACAAGGGCAAGTGCAGGGTCCTGCACCTGGGGAGGAACAACCTCATGCACCAGTACAGGCTTGGGGTGGACCTGCTGGAGAGCAGAGAGGGACCTGGGTGTCCTGGTGGACGACAGGTTAACTATGAGCCAGCAGTGTGCCCTGGCTGCCAAGAAAGCCAATGGGATCCTGGGGTGCATCAAGAAGAGTGTGGCCAGCAGGACAAGGGAGGTTCTCCTTCCCCTCTACACTACCCTGGTGAGGCCTCATCTGGAGTACTGTGTCCAGTTCTGGGCTCCCCAGTTCAAGAAGGATGAAGAGCTACTGGAGAGAGTCCAGCGGAGGGCTACAAGGATGGTGAGGGGACTGGAGCATCTCCACTACGAGGAGAGGTTGAGGGAACTGGGCTTGTTCAGCCTGAAGAAGAGAAGGCTGCGAGGGGACCTTATAAATGCCTACAAATATCTGAAGGGCCTGACTTTTGAAAAGGAAAGTGGAATGAAATTTGAGACACAAATCGACACCCTAA